CCTAAAAGTAAAAAATATATATTTTTAGGCTATGTTGAGGATACTAAGTACTATTGTTTGTATGATGTTAAAAATGGCTCCATAATTAAGAGTCGTGATATTAAGTTTGATGAGTGAGAAGTCTCTAAATAAATAGAATAGACTTTGGAGGTTTTTATTAATAAACTTAAAGAAACAAGGATTAAAATTGAGCCTATGGAATCTTCATCACATTTAGAAAGTGACTCTAAAGATACAATAGAAGATTTAGATACTAATAAAGGTCACCACTAATCAACTATTAAATTTTCATCTTCTGTTTGAGATATTCAAATACAAGCTTGAGCACTTAGACAATAACATGTGGCTTAAAATCCACCTCCAATCCTACCTCAAATCCCACTTCCACTTCCACCTTTACTTCTAATGATGTGTACAAGTGCTTGACTTTTGGCACAATAATAAGTAATTGATGTATCAACATTGGCTTGGATTCTTTTCAAGTAATTTATATCTTCAGCATGTATGATACATGCTTTTTACACAAGCACTAAAGAACCACCTTCTATCATTGAATCTATTGGAATAAATGATATTTGGAAATGGAAGGAAGCAATGGATTCACAATATTAGAGTCTTATTGATAATAAGACTTAGACTTTGACACCATTATCAATAAATCAAAAATCTATTTTTTATAAATAAATTTTTAAGATCAAATATAATGCAAATGATTCAGTGGAGTGCTATAATACAAGACTCATTGTGAAAGGTTGTGCACAAAAAGAAGATATTGATTACAATGAGACTTTTGCTCCAATGGCAAAATGACATCAATTTGTACAGTTCTTGTACTAGCTGGAGTTGAAGATTTGGAAGTTCATCAAGTGGATGTCAAGAAAATATTCTTGAATGAAGATCTTGAAGATGAGATATATATGGACCAATTAAAAGGCTATATATCAAAAGGTGAAGAACGATTGATTTATAAACTCTCTAAAATTTTCTATGGACTCAAACAATCTCTTAAGGCATGGTATAGGAAGATAAATGATTATTTTGCCTCACAAAGTTTGAAAAGAAGCCATATTGATCCTAAAATTTACATATTATGGACAATTAATGGATTCTTTATCATCATTGTATTTTTTGTAGATGACTTGATACTTATGTCTAATAACAAGAAATTCTCTTAGAAATAAACTTAGCTGAGAGGTTTGAAATGAAGGATTTGGAAGAAATTCACTCTATTTTGGATGTGTAAATTATCATGAGCTAAAAGATTTGTAAAACTACCTCACTTAAAAAAATTATGTAGAAAATTTTCTTGAAATGTTTGGCATAAAAGATTGTAAATCTTTGGCTACACCTTTGGATTCTAATAGTAAATTGTTAAGAGACATGAGTCCACAGATTCTTGAGGAGATTGAAGCAATGAAGGAAATTCCATACCAAAATGCAATGGGTAATTTAGTCTATGCAATGATAGGTACTTGGGCCAATATTTCATACCTAGTGGGAGTTGTTAGCCAATACATGGAAAATCTTAGCCCACTACATTAGATAGTAATGAAATGCATTTTGTAATATCTTCAAGGCACATCAGATCATGTACTACAATATGGTAGAAGGTCTTTAAGTTTACAAGTGGTTGGTTACTATGATGCAGACTATGCAAGAAATATTGATATATAACATTCAACTACTAGTTATATATTCTTATTGACTAGTGGTGCAATTAGTTGAAATAGCAAGAAACAACCAACAATCATATTATCTACTACTAAAGCAGAGTACATGGCAGCTACTCATGCTACAAATGAAGAAATTTGGCTTCAAATATTTTTTAAAGACATTGAGTTTTCACAAGATTGTCCTTTGATTATTTTTAGTGATAATCAAAGTTTCATTTTTCTTTCAAAGAATCCTACATTCTACACTCGTACTAAGCATGTTGAAATTTAGTATCACTTTGTTTGTGAGAAGATTGAAAGTGGCAACATCAACTTAGTTTTTTGAGGGACTTAAGATATAATTGCAAATATTTTGACCAAAGGTCTAACTCGTGAAAAATATTGTAAATTCAAAGAAATGAAGTGCATCATCAAATTGACTTAGTCTAATATGTCATTAAGTAGGAGTGTTAATAGAGTGTGTAATTCTTATTAGATATAAAGTAGAATGGGCAGTTGACACCATTTTGTTGATTGACAAATTGTAGCCACCATTTGTTGGTGGTAATACCATTTAGCCGCTATAGTCTGCCAAGTCGTCATATGGCCTAACAAGATAAGTGTCCACATGTTAATTGGACATTGTTAATTGACTAGTTGTTTGTGTGTTCACACTTGAAAGTCCACATGGTTAACCCATAGATTTGTTCTATATAAGGAGTAGAAGCAAATGTTCATTTTAATTGTTTGTTCTCTTGAATCCTTGATAATAAGATAGAAAACTCTTTTATATTTGCTTCATAAAACTTCTATTTTAGGAATACACTTTCTCTTTATTTTCTCACTTCATATTCTTATTTTGGTTTAGAATTTCTTCAAAAACCACTTATTAACAATCTAGTGGTCTTGGTTCATTTTGTATTTTTCATTTATTTAAGTATTGAAAAATAATTATACCCGTTTCCAAATATTTTAGATAACTTATCATTTTTGAAATTTGTATATTGTGATGTTTTACATTTTTGGTACATAAAGTAAAAAATCACCAATAATATCATTACTTGATTTTTGCAACAAATGTTGATCCATATAATATTTTATTAATATTATTTTACCTTCACTTTTAATCTATTAGTAATTTTTTACATTCAAAACTTGAAATATAAAATATAAAAATAAAATATAAAAATAAATCAGTTTAAATTATTTTTGTGAAAAAATCTTATCTAATCTTGTTTTTAGAACTTTAGAGGTCAGTTTTATATACATATAATTCACTAATTTAGAAATTAAAGTAGCATAGATTTTTTAATGTGTCTTTTTATGGAAAAGAGGTTGAATCTTGTTATAGTTTGTTTTTATAGTTCTATATTATTAAAGTATAAGAACTACAAATCTTTGTCTTATTATATGTTAGTATTGTGTATATAAATTGCACTTGATTTTTAAATTGTGCTGTCTATATGATTGGAAATTTTAAATAAAAAAACTATTATTATTATTATTTTGTATGAAAGTTGCTCGACTTAAGATTCCAAAAAATATTTCAAAGTGGGCTTTCTAATCTAATTAACATCAAAAATCTACTTATTGATGCCTTAAAAAGATTGAGTGAGTTAAGGATTGTCAAGAATGAATTTTTTAGAAGTAATAAGCTAAGAAAGAAAGTTATTATCATCCATCTTATTGTCAAAGCATTGAGAGATGTTTCTACATCTAAAAGATTAAAACTCTCATGATGTATGTATTGGCTTGTTGTATGTCAAAACAATTTGTGTTTAATATTTTTATGTATTCATTTCTTAAAGAAATTTCTATCAAATCTTTTTAGGACTTTTATTCTTTAGATGAATTAATTTTTTACTTTAATAAAATATACAACAGAATTTGGGAAGGTATTACTAATAATAAAGATATGAAAACAAAGTTAAACTTACTCCAATATTGATATTTTAATAACTTTTAAATAACTTATAAACAAAAAATAAAAATAAAATTCTTTATAGGTGATTTTAAATATTATATTGTAGCTAATATTTGCCAATATATGTTAATTCTAGAAGTTATATTGAAAAATTTATTAATCTCAAAATTTATATCAATGTATAATCCAAAATCCTTAATGAAGATTGTAGAATTTTTTGCCAATGAATTGATAATTAATTTTAATAATTTTTTAGGAAGACTATGTTTTTAATGACAATTTTTTTTGAAGTCCTTTTATATTAAAATTTAGAAAATATTTTTTGGTAAAAAAGAAATATAGAGACATATGACATTCTTATCAAATATCCATTTAAATATATTTTTTAATAATAAAAAGCTACTAATAGTAGCTTGAGCTTCTATTCTTATTAAATAAAATTATTACATACATAAAATTAGGACCAAAGCTAGAATCTTCTATAGATATAAATATAAAATCACTATCAATAAAATTATAAGCTATGAATAAATTCTAATTTAAGAAACTATTTTTTTTTATAAAAAAAATAACTCTGTATATGGCCTCATGTATTAAAACTACATTGTATAATAATCTTAACTGATAAGATCCAATAGAATAAGTCGTATTTTAAATTTTGTGCATATATATATACAAATAATTCAACAACATAATAGGATAATAATTTTTTAGTAACTATTTTTTAAATAATGATATTTAAGTTTCTTACAATTAATAGAAGAAATTTATTTTTAAACCAAAACATCTTAGATGAATTAGAGATTTGAGATTCCCCTTTCTTTAAAATATCAATTCTAAAGAAGAGTAAGGGGTCTCAATTCTATAATTATTAAATGTAAATAACACAAATGTTTTAGAGGAATGTTTTTGAATTACAATAATTTATAGGCCATCCCAAAGCTTTCCAAGTTTGTATTTACATTAAAAAAATATATTTTTTTTGAATATTTTTTTATATTAAAAAATTAAATATAACCAAAAATATATACCATTACCACTTGTAAAAGCAAAAATCATGGTTCAGTTTAAGTTTTAAAAATCTAATAAATGACACATAAGAATACATATAATTTTTTCTCAAGAATCGAGATAATATATTTTTATTTATTTTTCATTGTAAGAATTAAAATACACATACTAATTAGAACCCCTCCGACATGCAAGAGTGAAGTTGTGCCCATGGGAGCAGAGCGTTCCCGCAATGTTCCCCAGGAGGAGCACAAACCCAAGTGGAGGCGGGCGCCGCCCTCCGGTCGTGGAGACAGCACGGGCGGGATTCCATCGGACCCGCTGCGCTGGCGAAGGGGTGTGTCGGCCGAAGGATGATGCGAACATGGCGTTTTAGATGCAGACAGACACAGAAATGGACAACAAAGACGTAGATGCCGATGAGTGCCATTCGAACGAATTCACCGTGCGCACCCTTTCGCTCCCTTTTGGTAGCAGTTGCGCATGCCTCTGCAGCAGCTTCTCGCTGTCTGATCAGTCCCGGGGCTTCCGTCGCAGCATGGTAGAGTACAAGTGCCGCCCCTGTCAAGCCTCGACCTATTTGGATCTTGACAGATAACAGGAAGTAGGAGGAAACAATTTTATATTTTAAAAGCACTGATATCGAGCTTGAGAGGGGGATCAGGTCTCTGACATCGTTAATCAATACTTTTTGTCATTTGCGATGGATTGGTGAACTGATTCGTGGTTGCGATCGCGGAGGGGTAGACAATCGGAGGATGTGTGTCAGGAAAAGTATGCTTCGATCGGTTGTTCGGAAAGCATCACAATAGAACAGAACCCTTGGTTGGGACCTGTACGAGAAAGTCGTAGGCGATTGTTGCAGCGGGCTCGACGAGATGAACAACGGGTTGTTGACGGAGCGTGCGCTCCTCGGGCTGTTCAACAGCTCGTCGTACATCACCTTCGGCACTGCCGAGGATCCCTTCTCTTACCCGCACGTCAATGGTGGGTGCCGATCTGTCTCTTTCCCGCTCTCTCTCGCTATCTATCTCTTCCGCGCGACACCCTGCATTCAACATGATGCCGCGGCTGCATTCCACATAGTCACGAAGTTTCGATTGATTGTCGGTGACGAAGATGACGAAGTGTGTGGTGATTGATGGATGGCAGAGGAGCGGAGCAACTACAAGGGCAAGCAGCTCGCGCTCCCTACCGCGAAGAAGGGCATGCAACCCAATGGCACCAACCATATCTTCTTCCAGCAGGAGCATCCATGGGTCTTCGATGTCAGTTCCCATTTCCGATTCACTCCACTCCCTACCACTTCAAAATCCCACATCACAAATCTCCGTAATGGATCCTAGAACCTCCACTTCAGACTGCAAAGCTCTCCACCCTCGGATCATTCCTCCTGCAACGCTTGTCAATTTTAATAACAACGGGTTCTATTTTGGCTCCAAACATCCCAATGCATCAAGTTCTTCGTTCCAAGTCAAGGTCGCAGCCCACCACCACAGTAGCCTAGTCACCGCTTCGGTGAAGAAGCTGTTGAGTCTAGGCACCATTTCTGGGTGGAACTTTCCACATAGCCTTTCCGATCAGTGCCTCCGGCCCGATCCCATTCTTCTCTTCCTCATGCTATCAGATGTGTGTTTTCTGGACTGTTTTTTCTTGCTGTTGTTGCAGCATGAGATGACACCTTCCAATTCTCATCTTCATCTTTTTTTTTCCTCTACAAATGTTCTTCTGTTGTTCTGCTTTTTTTGGTTTAGGGTTGCCCATACGTGGACAAGAACATGTATCTGGAGAGCCAACCGGAGAGGCACAAGGGCTTCCTGAGCTCGGACTTTAGCAAGACGGACGAATTCGGCAACACCATTCGGACGGAGCAGTACCGAGACCAGCTCAAGGTGCTCACAGTCGTCTCATTCTCACACTTCCGTTTTTATTATTGAAATGATTTGACACATGTGTAGCAAAAGCAAAAGAAAAATGCATGCAAAACAAGCATTCTGTATGGATCCTTCATTCATTCTTTCTTTCTTTCTTTCTTTCTTTCGTACCACCTCCAATTTGTTGCTCTTGTGGTCAAGATCACACATTCTAGAGATTGTTTCAAGTCGTTTTAAAACACAGCATAATGTTGATGTACGTTTCTGTGTGGTTCTGCTAACTTAACACAAGGAGGCCCATGAATTGTCCGGAAGTTATTGTTGTTTATGAATGATATCTTTGCCGGTTTTAGTTTGAGGTCAATTATGTGCAAAGAGCGCGAGAATCTGATGTTGTTTGATAAGGTTTTGAAGCTTTTGTTTATCTTGAGCTGGTGTAAGGGGAAAACATAGTTGTTGATGGGTTTATTCACGTAATTGTTACCACAAATATCATTATTAGTAGTAGTAGTAGTATCACTTTACTATTACTAATAAATTATTTGTGGTTGTGCAGAAAGACAAGTATTTTGCCAAGAAGGGGTTGGATTCTATGGCAACCAAAATTCAAGAAATGGCAGCCAAATATCCAGAGATTGGGAAGAGAATTCCTACCAAAGTAAGAATAGAACATATTTTTGTATCCAAGTATTTCATCAATATAAACTCTATGTTAATTAAAAAAATAAAAAATAATAATCAAAAAACATAATAAAAAATACTACAAAAACAACAATAATATTCTTAAACTTAAAAAAATATGTCAAATTATTTCAATAATAAAAGTTGATTAACCACAAATCATTTATAACAACCTTACTATTACAAAATTTTGTATCCAAAATTTGTTAAATTGAAAAAAAAATATTAATATAAGTTTATGACATAATATTATATATATACACATACATATATATATATATATATATATATATATTCATAATTCAAAATAAAAATAGAAAAAGTTTCAAGCATTGACATAAAAGTGATATGTGGATGGGAGATAGTTTGATGGGCCAGAATTTGTATATGATGTGGGTAAGGCGGGCTTGTGTACCACAACTCATTGCCATAAGTGCCATAAGCAAACATACTATTGCCCGCACCGGATTGCATATTGCAACAACAACCCATACATGAAGAAGGAAAGTGGTGACTACTGCAGCTCAAGTGACACCATTGGAAGCACAGCTTGGGGTGCCAACTATGCAAAACCTGCCCATGCCCGCAAGCCCCTCATTAGGGACACATTCTACCGGCGTTGCAACGTCTTCTTTCCCAAGAAACAACCCACTGGATTTATTGAAAGCATATAAACAATTTTTTTAAAAAAAAATTTGTGTGTTTTAAATTTTTTTTTAGCCTTGTTTTTTTGTAAAAATCATTTTATACTGAAAAAGAATCCTGTACATCAAGGATTGTGTTCATGGTTTCTGGAATATCAATTGAATGAAACAAAAAAATTATACCATTTACATGCAATAGAATGACTATTTATTTTTATTATTCTATTGGAAAGAAAAAAAAATAAAAAATAAAAAATAACGAAATCTCAATGTTGAGTTTAAGAATATGGATGAGAAAGATTTTGAGTTTAGAATTATGGACTTTATGATTTATTTGTGTATAATACATGATGCATATTGGATGGTGTAAAATGTAAGGAAAGTGGGTTTTTGTAATATAAATGTGAAGAAAAAAATGAATGTGCACATGTGTGTAAACCATGAACTAATGATTGAAACATTATTTGGCAAATTAGAATATTTTATGTTTTGGCATTTGTAATATAACCTGATAATTGATTTATTCAACCATTCAATTATTCATGAGACTGAACTTTTTTACTTTAAACTTCTTTCCTTCAAACTAGTGATTTCATTAAAATATCAAATAAATAAAGTTCCGACCAAATTCATATATATATATATATACATATACATCTTTGTGCATATAAAATAACCTTTGAATGAGAATGAAAAGATACTATGGATCTTGCCTCTTCTATGGCCTTTCACAGCTAATACAACATTTTGATACACATCATACCATGCATGTATCATATAAGAATGTGAAGTTAGTGAAATGACAATAATGATCATGTCAAACACTTTGTGGGAATGATGATTTTTTTTTTTTTTTTTTTTTTTTTTTTTTTAACTCAAAAATCATACAAAACCACGTAATGATGCTCTCAATTTTCTAGTTTCATTTTCTGGCTTTCATGAATACATCCTCTGGGCTTTGTAGGGCTCAATATAAACTTCACCAACATTAATTCAAAGAGCCTCATATCCATATCAAAGTAGGAATATCTACGCAGCAAAGGAAATAAATAATTCATATTCACACCACTGTCAATAAGTTTTCACAAAATGAAAAAAAGGCCACAGGAATGAAGAAAAGATTGCTATGCCTCTATTCACCACTTAGAAATACCACAAGCTCCAATTCTGACGTTCAACTGTATTGAAACCATGCTTGTGTCTACAAATAAGGGTTTATGAGCAACCTACAAAATCTTCTAGCAACAACTCATGAATGCTCTGTTCCTCCTCAGTGATGCTTTGTCTTCACCGAATATCCAGACAGTTCAATAAAAAGCAAAGAGCTCGAAAATGCCTACTCTTCAAAGATAGAATGACACATATCACACAAGCAGATCAATGGATGTGTAATCTCACCTGAAAAACTAGCTGTCATGAGCTATGTGCTCTAGTAGCCAACATACACAGCGACGTTAACTACATAACAGTCATCGTTCTTGTCTCCCATAGCCTCCAGGGCAACACCACTTGAGCATATAAGACCTCCGTCCACAACTTCCACATCCAATATCTCGCCACTGCAAGTGGAACCCCAGATATGGTTCAGTATCTTCGTATCCTCAGTGTGAGGATGATGCATCAGTAGGAATATGCAGTGTTGACTACCCAAATAAGTCATCTGAATTTCTAAATAGTTGTCTGCTTGATGACGGACTGGAAGATGGGTGCGTTGGAAAACTTGGAATAATCTCGAAAGAATCTGACAGTAACTCTGGAAAGGAATTATATGAAGTAGCTTGATTAAAACAAAACTGTAAAAATTAGTAGAGATTGAGGAATTGGTAATTGATGAATCCTAACATATTCTGAGCAAGAGACCTAGATGCAAAAACCTGGGCAGCAACAGAAACCTAATTGGAAACCAGATATGCAAGCCAGATAACTGATCAGATGTTCAACCCCTTCCCATCGTAGTTTTCAGCGAAATCCCATCAGACAACAGTTTCAGGTAATACAAGCGGCACATAATTAACACTCCAAATAGAGTGATGTATCCGTGACTTACTATGGGAAGACAGCCTTCACTTTTTCAATGTCCAAATCCTTCTGCACAGAGCTAGGGACTCCTAGTTTCACCTTCAATTTCATTTGCTGATAAGTTATGCCAGGAAGCGCACCTGATCGAAAAAAAATTAGGTTCGTACATGGTCCAGCGAGTCAAAAGATAAAAGACAAACAAGGATTGCATGTGTTGCAAGTGGAGTTTAAAAAAAAGGACAATAAAATTTAAGTTTAAATTAAATTAAATAATAATTGTGCCAGTAGGCAATGCTCTAGAAAGCCATCTGCGGACAAATTGAGGCTACACGAAAAACATCTGCAGAATAGGTGTATCAACTACCAGTTCGGAACGCAGGTATAGAATTTGAACTGATGGCGTTTTTACAGGCTCTTACGGCAGCCACCGTTACATCTTGCCTGTCCATTGCCAACGTTTGTCAAGGATGATCATACAAAGATCTCACAATGCAACAACAGCGTACTAATCTCCACAAAACATTCATACTGTAACGATCCCATACAGCCCTGTCACAACAATGACAAGCGAAATTGCTCCACAAATGAAATTCGAAATTGAGCAAAGCCCTGGATCCAAGCGACCTAAAAGCAGACGCAATGACGAGAAAAAAAACCAAACGCACCCATGCTGATCGTATCCCGTACCCATCTCGACAAATAGCAACTGCATGCTCTTAGGATCAGCCGTGCGAGAAACAGGCATTCCTGCCGCAGCTGCCGAATTCGCCACGATTTGAATCCATTTCCCCTTCGAAGACTGCGTCAAATTTGACCTCCTCAGAGTGAACCCATCTTGGCCCAGGGGCAGGAAAATTGAAGGAGAACGAGCAAATGCGAGATTCGAAACGGGAAGAAGCAAAGACGTTCGCGATGATTGCAGCAGCATGGCGAAGGGCGAGGAGAAACAAAACCGCCCAAAGAATGTGATGGAGGAAATGTTGGAGTGATAGATTGAAGTGAAGAAGAATGCGGAGTGAGTGAGGGAGGGAGACGAAGGAAGGAAGGAAGGGGTGTTAGAAGCTGGTGTGGAGTGAAACCATGATTTAGCTATGGCTGTGCTGTGGCTGTGCTGTGCTGTGCCAGAATCATCATCTGTCTTGTAAACCCACAATGCTTCTTCTTCTTCCTCTAATTCTTCTTCTTCTCCTTCTTCGTAGTGGTGGTGGTGGTGGTCGTCGTTGTCGTCGTCGTCGCAGTGCCTGGTCGAGGTTGCGCCATCTCTCGCCATAGCCAGCCATGGCCGGATCGTGTCTCTCTGCCTTCTACCCACTTGGATGAACTATCTCATGGATGGGTGGATGGGTGGATGGGTGGAATGGGTGGGTAGAAATTTATGTTTGGAATATTGATTTAAATTTCTATTAAAAATTTTAATTATTTAAGATAATTTTTTGGTTTAATTATTAGGTAGAAGTGGACAAAGATGGTAAGAATTTATAATGATATACAAAGGTACTCTAATTTTATAACCTCAATGGATGGAATTTTTTAAAATTATGCAAGGTTTTACAATTTATGTAAGATCATACAATTTCATATTTTATTCATGATTGTAATACTCCACTTTATTGATTTGAGGTGATAGTGGAGTATGAGAGTAAGTCAATATGATAGATAATGCAAACCAAAGACAAATGTTTGATTGCATGGATGAATTTGATATGGATGTGGAATTGGGGGTTGTTGTGTATCAATGTGTGAAAGGGGTATTTAGGTGTGCAGGATTTTGGAGTATTTAAGCACAGTAAAGTGGATATCTTAATTGTTTGAATAGTTAATTGTGAGATTTTGTATATATTTTATAATTTTTTGGAAATGAATACTAAGCCATTCAAATGAAGCTGCCATAGTTAGACTTGATAGTATATGTTTAAGGTTGGTAGGAAAGAATGATTTTTATTTATTTGAAAAGTCATACTAGTATTGAAGCTTTGCTTGCTATGTATTACATATTAAATCAAGGAACTTATACAAGACTATAACAAGATAATAGAATACATTAACAAGGTCAAAGCTATGCAACAAAAGAACAAGAAGAAGACAAGAAGGTCCAAACTAAACCACAAGATATGCTTTGTCAAGACTAAGGAGCCTCTTAGCCTTGATAATTATATATATACAAAGAATTAAGAAGCTTTAAGGTAACTCCTTATGGAAGATTTTGCCTCCAAGTCCTTTTAGGATGCTTTGTGAGTATCTTATTTATTACTTCAATGTGAAAAAACCTTTAATACCTTCTATTGTGACTTTCTATATTTCTTGGGAGTCAAGCAATTTAAAGAACAATTTCTAACAACTTCTTAGAACCTTCTACAATCTTCTAATATCTTTTAGATTCTTCTAAGACCTTTGAAGAAGTTCTAAGAACTTTTAGAACCTTCTAGAACCTTCCTTAGATGGATGTCTATGACACTTAGGATTGTAGATAAAAATGATAATCAATAATCCTAGCTCTATTTGCCTTGCTCGGAACAAAATTGGATCCAAGTTCTATATTGTTACAATGATTTAATTGAAAAAATATAATTAGACTAATAAAACAAGTCAAGTTTCAAAAGTGATGAATGATTTGAGATATGTATTATGTATTTTTCTTATGTTTATTTTTTTGTTGTTGGAACTAAAAAGTGACTTTATATTATATTTGCTAAAGTCTTAGGTTTAAGCATGTATTTATGTTTTTCTATTCCTTCAAGCAAGAAATATTTTGAAAACTCAAAATCTTATGGCTCTTTTTGTTTTTAGTAATCATAGTGGATTTTTTTTAGATGGTTGTAAATATATTTTATTTTAGTCTCATTGAATTAAGTCTATAATATATCATGTATTTGGCTAAATAGAAATTAGATTTATTTTACAATGCACATGCACAAGCATCACCTACTTTATAAAAAATGATTGAATTAACTTTAAATTTTGACTAATGTAAAGCCACTAAAATAAGCAATTCGGTCATTTTATCACTTTGCTTCATGTTTTGAAGAATATAATTTAAACAAACTTAACATTAATTGATAGAAAAATGAAATGCATGCCAAGGTTGCATGCACTATCTTTATCTACAAGAGCAATTAGATGCATAATAAAAGCTTTGGAATTTCTAATTGATTGATGATAATTGACCTTTTTAACAAAACAATAAAATGTGGGATATATTATAAAAGTTGGATTTGGTCAAAAATTTTAAAGACCATAAGAAGAACTCAAGTTGACAAAGACTTCTAAAACTATGCAATATAGTGATAAGATTGTGATTCTATCTGTACTTTTATTTTAAAATTTTATCTTCTTCTTTTTTATTTTTTATTTTTTTACTAATTATGTAAAAACAAAGTTTATAAATTTATGACCTAGCAACAATCTCTATTCCAAAAAGTATTATTAAGTAAGCAAAAAATATCAATTAAGAAATATAAATTATGTGCATTATTTCTATACATATATAAATAAATATAGTTTTAAAATTAAACGTGTTTGTTTAAATTTAAAATTATCATATGTTAGAAGAAAAATAACTTTTGATTTCAAATAAATATTTTTAGCACTATTGATACTAAATCTTGAATTTTGTGTATACATATATACTTATTGCTATCCACTAATACCAACTATTAATATTACTAATATCATTATTATTACTATTGCCAATGTTACTACTATTGTTGACTATCTTAATAAATCACAATGCAAATAATATAATAATTAGTAATGCAAACTCATTCTATTACTATTATACTAAAATAAAATTTAAAAAATAATAAACATATATATATATATATATATATATATAATTAAAAATACAAATTTAATATAAAATAAAAAATTATTTAAGTTGAATTATTTTTAAAAACTACAAATTTTTAATAATAATAAGTTCTTGTTAATATATATATATATATATATATATATATAATTAATTATTAGTATACATCAATAAACTTTGTTGATATGTTAATTTTAAAATAAAAATTAAATAAAAATAAATATTTATTATTAATCTATATTTATTAAGTAATACCATTTAAATAAATTTTATTATAATTCATCTTTTATGAGATATTACTATAATTATATTTTAATTATATGTTTTTAAAAAAAACTTTCTCAATATCTAAAAATGCTAAATAATAATAATAATAATAATAATAAGAATAATAATATGATCATTATATAATAAGAATAATAAACTATATCAAAGATAATAATATATTATATATACATATGATCATTCATAATATTATGATATTGAAAATAATTACTTTTTTCTAAAAGCTATAATTATATAATTATAAAATTCAAATACTAATTCTTATTAATTCATGCAAAACTAGTTGTAAAATTTGAATTTAAAAATTTTGAAAGTCTCAAATCTTGAGTATTTAAAATAATTTTAAAAAATCCGATTTTGTCCTTGGTTTGCTTACATATAAATCAATTTTTCCATGAATCCAATTTGTATCAATCCTAAAATTAAAAATAACGTTTGCAAATCTAATCTAAAGTTGAATAACATCCTTTGTACTCCTTTATTCATTTATTTATATACAATTGAAAATTTATATTGAAAAAGTAAAATAAAAAGAAGAAGAGAATTAAACAACGTGATAGTTTTTCTAATTTTTACATGGACCACATTCCTATGCAGTTGCTACTCACATATTTAATACATTGTTGAGATCAAATTTAAACTCCTACACTTTTTTCTAAAAATACATGTTTGGATTTAAACTCATACTGTCAACAAATTGACACAAAGCAAAAAAGTTTACCTATCGCACTAAACCAATATGTTGTGAATTAAATTTGAAAGCGATGATCCATTTAATTTTGTGATAGATAAATCAAGGAATGAACAATTAAGACTGAACTTCAGAGTCTAAAATTTTGTCCTGAAAAACTGGGAAAATGACAACTTTAAACATGACGATCGCACAAACGATTGACACTTCTGGAATTAAAAAAGAGGCATCAATTCAAACCAAGTTGTGTTGATACGATTCAAAATCATTCAATTGTACAGAGAGAAGAGATTGACAAAACTACAATCGAACTTCAATTCCCAACCATTGGAAAAAAATAGCTTGGCCCTCCGATATAAGGGTTCAGCAAGAGTTTTTATGTAAAGTAAAGACTTTTAAAAATACGAGACTTTCCTCAACCTGAATCTATGTTTTCTTGACAAATGTGCCTTTGGTATTAACAAAGAAATGTGGAACGTGTAATGGTTCTATCTCTATGATACTGGGATGCGCTATTTCAAGTAATTTGAAGCGTAGAGCGCACAGAATAACTCTACAAACGAGTTCACGAGTACCTTTGAACAAGTTAAATCTGCTCAAGGTGTCTCCAGAAATTAGAGAACACTTCTCACACTTTTACAAAAATACTAAACGACGTAAGAATACAATGACTACAAAGGCATCAAGCGCTTTTGCTTGAAGAACCATAAAAATGCTATGAAAATTAGGAAGCCACCAACCCCAGAAATAATCAGAACCCATTTAAAGGACTCTGGTTCATCAAACAAGGCTATTGGAATATTCATTCCAAACACACCTGCCACCACACTATAGATGGCCAACACAAATGTTGCTGTTGTGAGCAAAAGCTCAAATTGGATCAGCTGATTCCGCACATTGTCCTGTTGAAAACATACCCATCAGCCACAAAAATTAGCACTGCATCTTCTTCACTAGTACGTGCAGATTAAATTCAAAAAAAAAATAAAGAAAAAGAAAAATGTTGATATAAATGCACGCCCTTGATTGTTTTGGAACAGTAGGCAAAGCCAGAAACTAGTGATTTATAGTATCCGAGAACTACTACTAGGACATTACGACTAATGAAAAAGGAACAATATAACAAAGTCCACATGAGTTTACTGTATGTCACACATCTCATTGTACCGAACTGCATATAGATAAGATAATAAAAGTTAAATTGAGAAGCATGTTATGTCTTGATACACAATCGTATTAAAAGGATCTGGATTCCATTTAATCTAGTTAGAGTGAATGCAGGACAAGAGAGCTGGAATTGTAATTACCAGCTGTATGTTGATGAAGTCCTCAGTGTCATCTATATACTCCTTCAACTGCATGCATCCACCACAAACGCATCACTCCATGTGTCCATGATGTTGAAAAAGGACCTAAACGTCCTCAGAGAATGAGACGATATATAAACCCATTGCCAGCCCATTAACACACACACACACACACACAAAAAAAAAAAAAAAAAAAAAAAAAAAAAAGGGGGGGGGATGGATGGATAGCTACCGAAGTTAACTTGTTCAGAGTTCCATCTATGACAACAAAGTATGCTTCCAAAAGCATCTCCAGCTCCTCCACTCCAGTTACTCTGGAACTACTCATACTATCATGCCTCGACTTTTGACTTAAGCTCTTCTCTAAACGTCTATCCACAGAAGAATGATATGTCGATCCAACTGGAGAACCGACAGGGGAAACAGGAGCCGACATTGAACCCCCTGCTCCAACATAGTTAAAGCTCAAATGTGAGCCAAGCTTTTGGTCGAAAAAGGCATACTCTGCATGCTGCTCCTTCTTTTCTGTTAGATACATCTCTGCCATGTCACTGTCATCGTCCATAAGTTGTTCGATTTCATCTCGCACCTACACACGCACATGGGTCATTTAAGAATAATCCACAAACTTAACACGTTCGATTTGGTTCTCAAGCGTTGCTACTGCGAATCGCAACAGAGTTTGCAGGACATTGCACTTGAAGTAAAAACTACGAAAACTTACTTTTTTCACACGCCTTGTTAGAGCTACAAGACGACTCTTCAACCGACGGACATGCTCAAGATTAAGTGTGCTGATCTTGGTAGTTAGTTCGTCAAGAACTGGATAGACCTCCTGTTCCAACTCTATAGCCTGCGTTCAAATGAACGGGATATAATGAGGCCGCTAATAAAACTTACTTGGAAACACACTCATAGGTCGCTCAAATGTGAGAAAGCACACGTCTTATTCTTTCACCCATAATTAATTGAAGGGGGAAGCGAGCGCGCGCGAGAGAGAGAGAGAGAGAGAGAGAGAGAGAGAGAGAGAGGAAAGTGCGGGGGGGGGGGGTAGCTCCAAAAGAAGATAGGTGCACAAGATTCAGCACAGTAATACTGTAATGGCTTGAAATAAACAAGAGAGATATTCCAACAATCACGAACTATACGGCGAAGCAGAAGGAAAATCTAGATTCTGCAATGCCGTGTTGCGAGAGTGATAGTTGACGTTCTCTAAACCAAGGTGGAAAGAAAATAAACGATAAACGCATCTCACAGTGGTCACATTCTAGATACGTCGACAGCCATTTCTAAAAGCACAAAATAGTGCTCGTATCTGTTGGAAACGAAAGTGTAGCTCTACAGCCAAACGTAGAAGAAGTACGTAGTCCCGAAGATCGAACATTTTAATTGCTTAAGGACGAAATAAAGCGCACCTGGGCATCTAAAAACGTGCAAGCAGCCTCGAGAGCGACTTCAAGAGCTTGAAACTCAAAGGGAAGGTCATCAGCCGAAGAGCCACTAAACATATCCCCATCATGCAACGTCTGTTTCCGCTCATCCGAACTCATAAGAAGTGGCACATCGAAACCGTTCGCAGCCCCAGAAAGTGTATAATCAACGGGCGATTGGCTCCACTTGAGGCTGGCAATATCAGACCGATTCTTCATAAACAGCCGACGCTGCAGCTCAGTCACATACTGCAGCACATAACTATCGATAGAATTAAGCAAGAGAATCTCATCGGCAGTGATAATGCATCGAATCTGTTCCAAGTTGACCACGATGGCTCGCTCGCGCCCAAGGATTGTGCTCGGGTACACAAAAAGTGGGTCAAGGAGACGCAAATCCCTTGCGGGGAGATCACAACGTCGCATTAACGAGGCTTTGTCTACCTCTAGGATTTGAGTATTCCCTGAAGGATCGATTCGGATCCAAGACCGCACTCCATGGCCGCGTTTCTTCAGCGACACCCCTTCCATACCTTGGAATAACGGCCGCTTCAACGTCTCCGGCCTCTTAGAAATCCCCTCCGATGGGCCAGCTGCACCTGGTGGCCGAGGCGGCAACAGTCTTGCTTTAAGATCTGCCATTCTGAATAAATTATCTCCCGCTCTACACCTATTTCATTGGAAGATGGCGCAAACGCACCACCCAAACTACAGTCCACGATCTCACCACCCCACCACCTTCGCCAAATTTAACCGTCCCCAAGCATCCCGATCAAAACCAACACCGTCACAAATTCTGCTCAAAATTCAGCACCGTATACACCGGATCGCGAGAGCTCACAAAAATCCAAGAGCAAAGATCGCTCCCCCTTAAGCAATTCACAGCCTTAAACGCAGATCACAGACTCCACAGCCCACGTTGTGACTCTCTCCCACCCCATCCGCCCGCACCAAACAGCTCCAAGTTAATACTCCAGCAACACTTTCCCCCTCTCCACACGCAACACATCTAAATTGTGCGCAAGTAAAACTACATTTTGTCCGCACGAAAAACTACACTATATCCACTCAAAAACTCCGCAACAGCCACATCTCCGAGCTACACCTCTACGCGAATCACCAACCCAAATCAGCACCTCCTGCAGGAGCCATACCCACACCACCCCACCAACACCCCCATCGCCATTCAAATTTCTTCTAATACATCCCCCGCATCAAATTCCACGACCCCAGCAAAATTAACGAGTTCTACCTCCGCTCTACTCCTCTGCCTCCCTTCAAAGCCCACACCTACTAAGCTGCACGACAACAATGACGATGGAACCCTAACATGCCTGACCCACAACACACACAAACCAAGAGCTGCACACAACTTCGAGATGCCGACGAGAAATCCGAGCCCAGTTCACACAAGCCCCGAGAACACCGCGACAAGAACAAACAAACGAAAGGGAGCCAGCAACGTGGGGATTCGCTGCCTCGCGTGTGCCGAGGTGAATTATAGTTTGGTTTGTTGCTTTTGCTGTGCTCTCTCTCTCTCTTTTATTGTATTGTGTTGAATTCCACTCGGACGGTGAGCCGCGCTCATTTAGCATCTCAGTCTGCTTCCGCCATGCATGCGCTTCAGTCCAAAACGCCGCAGGCCAGGCCAGGCAAGGAAAGTCCATGGCTATGGTAGCTTGCTGCTCCCTCTCTCCCCCCCTTTTGCTCAAAGCTGCTGTCGAGATGCTGCTGCTGCCACTGCAACTTCCAAGCTAGCTCTGCTAACCCCGCCCTCGTCCCCGTTCTCGTCCCCACCGTCGCCCTCTATAGTCCCCTCTATACTACCCTCTATTCCTACGCTTCCTTCCATGTCGACCTTACTTGTTAACTGGAAAGTTAGTTAGATCGTTGCGTGTATGGTTGGTTAGATAGTTTGAGATTATTTTTGTTTTTTATTTTCAACGTTGATTTGTAAAACTTTTCTTTGGCAGTGTTAATTGGTTTGTTGTGTGTGTGAGTGTTTTATTATTATTATTATTATTATTATTTATTTTTGTATTTTCCCATGGCTGTAATATATTCTTTTTAAGATTCTGTTACAAGCTTTTCTCAACTTTTGAGGAAATGACTTACTTTCAGGGATGTTTGGTTGCTTTGGCAAGTTGGTGTATATGGTGCCAACTTGGAAAATGGATTGTATTTATGAAAATTATAATTTTTGTTTGCAAAACTTGATTGATACTTTGTGGAGTATCAAATCTAATTGTTTTGGAATAAGATACAGAATTTACAGATATATTTTGGCAATATTTTTTAATAAAAATAAAAATAAACAATGGGCTCTAAGATGTTCTTCAACATGGTGTTATATTCCATAAAGCATGCATAAGCCACACATGTGAGTAAAAATATGAGTCTATGCATAGTACATTTCGTGGGTACAAATTAAACGGATTGGGGATACTACATATGGCTAGAACAATTCAATTACCATACAACATATTTTACTACCAAAGACTCAAAATTTAAAACAATTTATATAACTAAGCTACTCAAACTTAGCAATAAAAAGATACACATCCAAACCTTAAATCCATTCATACATATATGTATAACTTTAGTATTCATTTGCTCTAAACAATCATCTTTTGATCTACTGTATATATATATATATATATATATACAGTTATAAAACATATTAAACACGCAAAAGCTCAAAACCAAATAATCAAAACCACACACACACACAATAAAAATAAAATAAATAAAATAAATAAAAATAAAAATAAAAATAAAAACTTTTGGATACAAACACTTATTTATTCATTCATTTATAATATAGCAATGATATACCATAAGCCCTTCCATGTTTTGGTTTCAAGTATTTATAGGTACAATGGATTCAACAAAAAGAATTAAATAGTTTTTATAAATCATTCTTTTGATCCAACAAACAATGAATCAATAAATACCAATAAATAAGTAAATACACAATTTTACACTTAGATGTAAATAATCTATTGTGATAATTATATTACACATTATATTTATGTGATTAAATTGTATGACATGTACATTGAATAAAAATTCGTTTTTTTAAACAATAATTTTTTACAAAAATGATTAGATGATAATGAAACTTTTTGATGTTGTTATATGATAATTACTATTAAAGAAAATAATAGAATCTCACAACAGATGTCTTTAAAAAAAAACATGTAAAAACAATAATTTCGTTTTCAATATATATATATATATATATATATATATCCACATACACACACAGTGTATTTTTGAATTACACTGAAGCATACATAAGTATCTGAAGTAATACATTTTAGAAAAACTGTGCTCATGAAAACAAAATACAATGTTGTCCTAAAAGAAAACACTCTCTCTCTTGAAAGCATGATTCTGTACTATCAGATTCCTTTTTATTTTATTTACAAAATTATACAATTCCTTTCATAACTCATGATGGTTGTTGCAACAATTATAACAATCTCTCATCAAACCAACTACTGTGTATGGAAGTACAAGACTATTAATTTTATGATGGTGAATCTTGACATCTCTTTAGCCAAGAGGAAAAGGAGGTGGATGTATATGACACCATTCACAAGAGTCATGGAGCCTTTACTGATAAAGGAACAAAAATAAATAAGATTCCGTGTTCAATGGCGTGGCATCCACCATTCTCATTTATGGGATCTCTTAAATGATAGCCCCATGCTGGAAAAGGTGACACTAATTTTACAACCCACACTAAAGACCAACCAATCACAGAAAAACATTACAGGTGTGACAAAGGACACTTGGGACAAACTCAGCTTTTTCATGTGCCTCTGCTTCCCTTTGAAGAACTATGTGTTGGATGATTGAAATTCTTTGTCTTATTAGGGTTTTCATTGCTTCCAGGTGATGATGCAAACAGTATTAAATTTTATTTATTTACCAAAGAATACTTCTGTGGGTTTCTCCTGAATGAAAATTTTGATTAGCATGTTGTGATAATAACGATATTATATATATATATATATATATATATATTTTGCTTTGTAATGGATCTAAAAGGCTCCTTTTCATTTAATGGAGTCGAATTAGGATGGGAATAAAGACATTCTCTTACGTGGGGTATGAAATATTTAAAATTCTCAATCCCAAACAATGAAAACGATACTAGTTCCACGTGTCACGATTACGTGGTCCAAAGGATCTTTAGCCCTGAAAAGGAAGAATCTCAAGGAAAATAAGTATTTTTACACGAAGGCTTGGAAATTGAAATTTTAAAAAGGTCACACAAAATCGGATGAAAGCGCAGACAGCATTCATTCTCTTTAGAATGAAAGCATCTTAGGGAACTGGACCCCCTAATGGAGCCGTGATATCCCCCCCCCCTTTCTATTGCGTGACGTCAGTGCCAAGGCTCTGTCTGTTGTCACCCGAGGTTTCTTGAGCAAACACAGGCCCTCCGAATGAACTCCATTTGCCAACATTCATCCAACTGTTTCTCCCCACTCAAACTTTCCATCTTATCCTGACATGGATCATGGGTTCGAACCCCTCAGAAGAAAAGTTTCAACGTACTTCGGATTACCCAACGTTGGCTAATTCTGAACCAAAGGAGGATTGATTCCAATAGGGCTCCATAACGTTCCCAAGCAATTGCACCATGGTTCCCTCCCGTCGAGAACACGCTCTTCATCCATCCACTATTAACCACCGTGGACAAGAACTCCAGGTGGCAGCACAAAATATTCCAGAAGTGGGTGGAGGAGTGTGTGTGAACGGAGGCTGGGACGGGCTGGGCTGGGCTGGGCTGGGCTGGGTGAGTGTAATGATCGGCACGGATGGCAGGCTCCTCACATGGGAAGGACCCCTCCATATCTCATCCCTTGGCCCCCTATCTCTCTTTATTTATATAATTACATGTTTATTTAATTATTTATTTATAAATAAATAAATACCGAACAAACCTTTTGCTATCAAAAAATACAGTACAATCCATTACAGTTCAGCCTGAACTACTGAAAGGTAAAATGTTAATTGTAAATGTGAGGGGGAGGGGTGGGGGGTGGGTTTATAGCAGGGCCCAAAGCTGGAGGGGTTGGAATCCCTTCCTAACACTATTTTGATCTATTTTGGTGCAATAAAAGTGTTATTTGCGTAACCGGATTCTGACGAACTTACAGAGAAGTGAATATTCATTCTCAGAAAGCTTTGCAATTGCTTTTCGAACTTTCATCTACTTTAATGTACCATGTGCTGCAATGATGTTTTTACTTTGTATTTGCAACTTTTTTGTGTGACCAACTAAGTAGATCTTACAAACTCTGTGTATGCCTTGGTAGAAGCATTTCTTGCACCAATTCTTTGTGACCTTGTCAAATCCTTCAAGTGTATAAGAGCAACCATCTCAAAAATTATTTCTCTATTAGGATTATCCATGGACACTTGCGTCTTTTCTTTGTGCAGCAAATTGAGTGCAATGTTACAAATGTTGGAAGAATTACGTGAATTTTCAAAATATTTTCACAAGAGGATCTTCTATACTGAACAGGGAATATGTGAAAATCTTTGGAATGCAAAGGAGAGTGTTAGGGTGATGCTTTTTGGAGTGTTGTATAACATATTGTCTTGCTTGAGAATGCATTAGACACTTGGTTGTGGAAAGATAAATTAGAAATTGCAACAACAAAGGTCCTAATAACTCTAATATAATCTTAAATAAATCCCAATTCAACCTTAACAATCCTAATCAAACTTTATTTAATTCTAAATAAATCTTAAAGAAATTCTATAAAAAGAATCATTAAAAAATCATAAAATGTTATTAAAGAAAAATTAAAAAAACATTATAAAAACTTTTAAAAAAATCTAAAATAATAATAAAGAAATCCTAACCAAATCTTGACCAAATCTTAAGTAAATTCTAATCAAATCCTTATAATAGTCTTAAAATCTCAATAACTATTAATATTTTGACTAAAACTTTTCACACATTGCAATCTCTATGAAAAAAAAAAACACACAAAGTTTAGAAAAAGTTTGCTTGTGGAGACCCTTGCAAGGTACTCTTCTGATCTCTCCTTATTTGTAGTTGTTGTAGGTATTGATTAGCATGAAGCAATATCAATCCATTAGGAATGTATTGTTAGAAATATCATATTAATAATATAAAAGAATATTAAGAACATAATTTAAAATTTTAATTATAATAATAAAAATAATAATATAAGAAATTATAAAAATTTATTTAAATATAATAACCAAATAAATATTTCTAAGATATAAAAAATTATTTTAGCTAAGAAATATCTAAATTGTTAAATATAACTAATAAGATTAAAATGATCTTAATCTTATTTCAATTCATGCTACTTGGAAGCCATATAGTGTGATCTTGGAATATCATGCTACCTAAATGATCTAAAATAATTTATCTAAAAAAACCATAAAATGAGGTTGTTAAGAACTCAAATTAACTTTTGAAGAAGTATTCTATTAGACTTTAGTGACTATGTTACTAAAACACCTTCTTTGAATTGTTTTTGAATAAGTCATAACTCTATGTTTCTTGCTAGAAGATTTAAAGAATTTTTTACAATAATCAAGAAAAATCTAAAAATATATATGTGTGATAACAATAATTTTTTATTGTTGCAAAAATATACTGTAAGTATGAG